ACGCACAAATACTCTTGGAAATGGTATGAATCCATCTCCTTCCTCCAACTATGGATTAATTAGTAAGACTTTCATCTGGAAAAAAATCATTGTTATTCTCAAAAAATTGTGAATGCAATATTCACTCACAAAAATAAAATTATTCTTACAATCCAAGATGGCTTTTTCACTTGAAAGAACCCAGGTTTGACAAAAGGGTTGATAATCTGTTAAAAAGCAAATCAGCCAATCATTACACTCACAACCTCATTCAGTAACCCTCTACTTTGTGTGGCTCTTGAGCCTTGTAATGAGTGAATAATTAGTAAGAAAATACACACTACAGTCAATCACATGAATATGTATTTCTCTCTTTTCTGAGTTATATATATATATATATATATATATATATAACACACATATGGAATACATAAAGATAGCTTTGCCTATAGTCCGGTTCACACTCCTCCCTGGTCTTTTGAACAAGAGAAGTGGTTTATCCCTTGTTTCCTGTTTAGGATTAGGTTTCCAGTTCCTTCTAAATACTACTTCAACTCTGTACTTCTGATATCGCCACCTAAACTCTGAAACTTTATTTACTATTTATCTTTTTCCTCAACAGGAATAGATAGGTTTGCCTATAATCCAGATCACACTCCTCTCAGTCTTAGAATGTCATAGAACTGCAACATGAATTTATGACCGTTATTGTCACATAGCAATCTTCTATGTCAACATAACAGAATATCATCTTTGTTTAAATGTCCGTATAACCACTCTGAAGATGGTTCATGTGAGCTGAAAGCTTAGATCAAGGAACCGCTTAATAAAAAAAATATCCAAATGTTGGACAATTTTTGTTTTTATTTTCTCCTGAAATTAAAGCAAATATACGGAGTTTAGAACAGCTCATGATCAAACATAATAAACATTCATTGTTTGTTATATTTAGCAATATATGTTTGAATATATATATTGTCATCCACAGACAGACTGTTTCGCAGCTCATCAGTGTGGCTAGACATCCAACTGACTCAAGCCAGGATATTGAAACACGACTGACATGGTATCAGTTGGAGATTTTACCACTAAGCCATTGGCACCTGGCAAGGATGAAGGTGAATTTAGACATATTTATTTTTAGACAAACACACTAGTAACCGGAGAACTTGATTTGTCATAATGAAGAGTCTTTTTTATTATATATATATATATATATATATATATATATATATATATATATATATATATATATATATATATATATATATATATATATATATGTTATGAAAAACTTGGTAATCCATATGGGTAGTCCCAAGGAGAATGAAATCCTGAGAGCTCATTGTAAATCCAGAGCTAATATTTTATATACACTTTATTTTAGAATATTACATCAAAAACATGTCAAAAAATGCTACACAATTGCAAGTGACTAGTTGATCTGAGTAAAGCCCACAAACCCTATAACCTATATTTACACTTTGTGATCATAAATTATACTTGTATCCTGATTCATCAAAAAGCCAACACCCTTTTAAAATTTTGTAACCCCTTTCCCCCTCCAGCTTAAACTATATAATCCTATTTAGCTTTAAAAAAAGTAAATCCTTTTTTTCAAAAGTTATTCAACATTGCTTGAGAATGGAATAAAAACTTTAATTTTAATTTAAAGTTTAGTTTTTAATTCTGAAACATGTTAATTTCTGTGTAACGATTTTTTAAAAATAATATAATATTATGCCCTACTGTGTATTGAGCACTGGTCTTTAAAAATAAATGCTAAAGATTTGTGGATTATAAATCTGACTGTCCTTTTTTTTTATTTTTTATATATATATATATATATATATATATATATATATATATATATATATATATTATTGAATTTATTTCTTTTGAAAATGTTAAGATATTCAAGTAAATGTTACAAGCCATCCATTAATTTTGTTTTTTATAAACTTATGAGAACCTTGTGAGAAATTTCTTTTAGTTGCAAATGATTTTTTGCTGAGCCAGAATGGAAATTATTGAATACGTGCAACTACAATGTGAATATATAAAATTAATTATCAGAAATGATATTGATTAGTAACATTAGAATGGTGGTGGTGATAAACTTACTTTACCATCCCAGGTACACTTTGTTCACGCCTGAAAAACAAGGACATATAAAAGACACAGGAAGATTTCTTAATGACTTTTCTTACTACTTCAACTCAGACTTTTACCTGGACTGGTATGTGGACTTTACCTGGACTGGCTACTTGATATTTTGTCATTTAGTTATACATGGTGCATGGACATTGTAGTGAATGCAAAATTATTTGTGAATATTTAACAGAAAAGACACTTGTCTCTGTGTTATTTGAAGAAAAAATTCTATTAACTCAAGAACAAAACCTGCTTAAAAGCTGAAACTTTGAATATTAATAATTCGATATATGTTGTAAAGGCAGTGTAATTTTTTATCTTTCTCCATAAATTATAATTAAATTTTAAGTTTGTATCCCCTCACTAGAGATATTCTGTTGTATTAATAATAATTTTCAATAAAAAGGAGGTTTATATTTTGTCTGAAAAAGATTAATTAATATTTACACCTGTCTTAATAGCAAGTCTGATTGGTTCGATAAGGTCAAATTAGCAGCTGATCTAAAAAAAAAAAAAAAATGACTTTTTGAATGGGGTAAGAAATGGTTTGTTAATTTTAATGCCTCTGACATGAAACTGCTCTCTTTTAACCATCTTAGAGAAATTCTTTTGTCTTCCATTAGCATGGCTGCTGCTAACCTCCAGAAAAGTAATTCATTGTCCCTTCTTGGGTAAACATTTTCCACTCAAATGAAGTGAAATAATTATATTGAATCAATTGCTAGGTTTACTACCAGATTAGTTGGTTCACTGTGCCATGGCAATTTTTCTCACCAGAATTTATCTTACACCTTTATAAGTCTACTATTTGTCCATGCATTGAGTATTTCTGCCACATTTGGTCTGGTTCTTCCGCTATGTAATTAGAGATTCTTGACAAAATCCAAAGAATCTGCAATGTTATCAGTCCTGACCTGGAATCTCGGCTTCAGTCCCTTTCTCACCACCGTAATGTAGCTTCCCTGAACCTTTCTATAACTACAGGGTGGTCCGAAAGTCTTGTCATCCATACATAATATTTTCTATTTCAGATGGCCGACACAAACTCCTACAGTTTGGAAGAGAGGTTGTAGGTGACAAGATTTCCGGACCACTCATGTACTTTCCTGGTAATTGTTCAGGTGAGTTTCCCTCTGTGGTACATCAATATTACATATTGAAGTGCAGTACTAGATTGGCAGCTAGGTCTCATCACTTTACAGTTGAAATGGTTAGATGTAACTGTAACAGTTTTTTTTCTTACACTTCTTATTTGTGGAAATCTTTCAGCTTCTTGCTTTCCAGTCAACTTTGATCTTCCAAAAATTAAAATACGATGTCAATCATTCTCTTGCCCTCTCTCTTTAATAATGTTCTCTTTTTCTTATATTCTTTCACACTCAGTAACCCCCTTGAGTTTCAGTGGCTTTATTGCCTTGCTTGGGGTGAAATAATTAAAACAAAACCAAACAAAATGTGAAACAATTGATTGTAACGGAAGAAATGACCAAAGAATATTATTTTCCCTTACTCTTAAGTGAGTCTCTTCAAAGGCCGTTGTTCCTGAAACATCATTGATGAGATGGGGGGGGGGGGGGGCAGGGAATTTTCACTGAAAATGTAGTCTTCAACATGATTCTTCCTGGAAAAAAAAACATGGCAAGACTTTATAGTTATGTGACCAGAAAAACTTACAAGTTATATTTACATTATTTAAATTGTTTGGGCTGTTGTCCTAATCATTATTGCCATCTCCACAACATTTCGGCTGTTGTATGCTCTGGCCTTCTTCAGGTGATATATATTAGGAATTTGTGTGGTTCTGCCTATAAATTGGTGAGGGGAAAGTATTTTGCCATCATTTCTAGTAGGATTGGAAGCAACAGCACTACTAGAAGATAATTAACCTTCTTTGGTACTTTGACTTTATGAATTTAAGCGGAGTACTAGACTGGCAGCAAAGCCCTCTCATTTACATAGTCATAGTGGATTAGTTTCTGGAGGTATTTATCCGTGTACCCACGTTGCAACATAATGTGGCCAAAAGTTGAAAATTAATGTGGATTTCTTGGCAATACCATAAAATTGATTGATTTTCTAAGACTTATCAACCCTTTGCAGGTTACCTAAAGCCAGAAAATATTTTTAGATTGTAAGAGTTTTTTTTTTGTGATGATAATGAACTGCTTCATTTTGATTTTGAGGAAAGATGGAAAAGACATTAGAGAGACAGTTTGATTTCAGTGAGAAAATGAAAGAAAGATTGATTAGTTTTTTATGACTTATCAACCCTTTGCAGGTTATTTAAAGTCAGAAAATATTTTTAGATTGTAAGAATTTTTGGTGGTGGGGAGATAATAATGGTTTAGCAATACAAGTCTTACCAATCAAGTAACAGCTGGCAGGAGATGTGGTGGATTCATACCTTTCCCAATGGTATTTGCACATAAGTGAATATAGGAGATGTGGTGGATTCATATCTTTCCCAATGGTATTTACATGTAAGTGAATATAACAAACCCAACTGAAATTGGAACTCGGCTCTCTGATTAACAATTGAGCCATTTTCTATTACATCACCAGCACATCCAAGCTTTCAGCGCTTTCTCTATAATGGCAGTACACTAAACTTAAAGAAATATATGATTGATTGATTGATTGATTGATTTTTACAGCTTATCAACTGTATTAATGCCAAAACATAATTTTGGATTGTAAGAAATCTTTTAAGAGCATATTGATTTTCTGGTACTAGTCCTACTATTTGACCCATAGCTGGGAGGAGAAGAGGTGAATTCATACCTTTCCCAATGAACCTGGCTGGAATTCAAACTCAGCGCTCTGATTAACAATTCCAAGCTATTATCCATTACACCCACACATTCAAGCTTACAACACTTGGTATTCCCAAGCAGTCACCCATCTTGGTACTGACTAGGCTCAATGTTGCTTAACTTTGGTAATTGGACAAAAACAAGTGTTTCAATGTGATATGGTCATTAAGTCCTTAAAGAAATAACTTATTACATGAAAATTACGAATATTTAATATTAAATTTAACCTACACCTTATTTCAGAATTTTTTTTCCTTTACGTTGTTCAAGTCAGAAAACATCTGTTACATTTGTGCAAACATAAGCAAGTCTCAAAATTCAATATTTACCTGTGTGTCTGATAATTTAGATTGCGTGTGGTTTGTGGATCTTATGACTAAATTAGACTTGCTTAAATGAAAACCATTCTGATTTGTTTTTTATGGTTTGTCAATGGTTTGCGGCCAGAAAATATTTTTTTAGAATTTTTTGGGGGGGATATAATGATTGTACTGATACAATGATGTAAACTTTTACAATGATGTTCACCTTGTATAAGGCCTAGGAGCTAGTGGTAATTAGCTGTTTCCCTACAAGGAAACTTTTTTTTTTTTTTTTTTTTTTTAAATCATTTCACCCCAAACAAGACAATAAAGCAATTAGAACACAAGGGATAACTGAGTGTTAGAGAATATGAGAAAAGATACTATTAATGTGATAGGACAATAAAAGAACAAGAATTAAGAAGACAGAAGAAAATGATTGACATTGCATTTAAATTATTGAAGATCAAACTTGACTGGGAAGAAAGAAGCTGGAAGAGAGTTCCACAAGGAAGAAGTGAAATTTGGCATTCATTGATTGAGTAGCCAGTACTGTTTTTGGTTGAAATTTTTAAATCAATTCTGTTAAAATACTGTTAGAAAAACAGGTTTCTCGTTCAGTAGATGATGACAGTCTTTCGAGCATTGATGAGGGTTTCTTTCCGAATCTTCTATTTGAAGTGATGTGGAATGTTAACATCTTGATTATGTCAATATTTTCTCTTTAGGTTACATTTGCTGTCCATTTTAATTGTTGCTGCTGTTGGTAGTCCTCAGGTGATGGGGTTTCTGTTATTTGGTATAGTTCTTTGTTTGTGACTCCGTAGTGCCAGTTCAAAGGATGATGATCTTTGCCAAACCCTTAGGCTCTACTCACTGAAAGCCTATTTCACCATTGATCTTAGAAAGCAGTTATATCCAGCTGATAGTTTAGATATTAAATAGTAAGAGACAGTTTATGTGGATAGGTGGGAAAGATAATGGTTAACACTAGATTTGGACAGGTTAGGAGTTGGTTCCACAAAGCAGCAGTTTGTTGGAAGAAGCTGCTCGAGTGGAACTTACATCTCACCAATGAAATACGAAGGGAATGTGGATGGTTCGCTACAATGTACGTGGCATGGAAGGTTAGAACTGGTGGAATTAAGAAATGTAGTTCGTTTGAGCATTTTCCATAGAAACTGATAGAGCAGTGAGTATGATGTTTAGTCGGTGAGAAAGGGGTTATCTGCAGTATATAAAACTACACAAACTCCTCTGTGAAACTATTGTTTATATAACTGTGTGTATTATAATTTCCTGAAACACAAGAACATCTGTCTTAAATCAAAGAACAGACTGCTGCTTCACAGTCTTTCTGTACACTTGCAAATCTTTGTCAGAATTACAGCAAACACTCAAAACAAAAACTATCCTAGGCAACTTCTATATACACTTCATCATAAATGAGGCAGTACAAGACTCCATCAAACAAGAAACAGATCCATTTGAAGACCTCATAACTGCCATCAACAAGAGAAAGTTGCACTGGTATATACACGTTTTGTCAATTTGGTTGATTTTGTTTAGCAGCATATCAACACCCCTGCCAAAATCTAAATATTTTGAACAAAATTTTACGGCTACAACTAAATATATTTTGAACGCAATTGTATGTCTTCAACTACAGATAATATGTATTGTTGGTTGGTTGACTTTGTTTAGCAGCATATCAACACCTCTATGGGTTATTTAATGCCGAAGTCTAAATATTTTGAACACAGTTTTATGGCTTCATCTAAATATATTTTAAACTTAATTGTATGCCTTCAACTACAGATAAAATGTATTGTTGGTCATTTTATTATACAAATCTATTTTTATACATTCATAGTGTTTTGGGGGGGGGTTCACTATATGTCTATGAAATTCCTAAAACTTGTCACATCAGAAGTGCGTAATACCAATATTTCCATGATTCCTTTCATTAATTTTCTAAAAATTAGGAAATATTAAAATTAACATTTTATAATATAAAATGACACTGTTTTTATCCAATAGGAAGAAGAATTGAAACATTATAAATGAGATGCTACCAAACCATCCTAGTCATCTCCTATATAGACTGCATCATAAATGATACAGTGTGAGATACCATCAAACAAGAAACAGGCCCATCGGAAAAGCTCATTTTGGACTAACAGTTTTTCAGTATGTGTGCTGACTAGAAATTACCAAGCACACATATACTGAAAAACTGTGTTAATCCAAAATGCAGATTCTGTGATAAATATCCAGAAACAATTGACCATCTTGTAGTATCAGGTTGTCTGGTATTGGTACTCACTGAATATACAACATGGCACGACAGAGTGGGCCAATATCTTCACTAGAAAATCTGCAATGCTTATGAAAAGGAAACTGCAAGAAATTGGTATGAACACCACTCAGACTCAGTTATGAAGACCTGTAACAATTTTATGGGAATTTACAATACACACAGACAAAACAATCAAAGCTAATCGCCCTGAAATGTGCCTATTTATTGATATGACAGTCCCTGCAGAATGCAATGTATTTTTAAGGATCTTCAAAAAAGTATCAAAATACAAGGACCTTGAAATCAAAATCTCAAAAATGTGGCACATGAGAACATTAACAATTCCAGTTGTAGTTGGAACCCTCACATTGATTGGAAAAGATTCTAATAGATTCATTGAAAGAATCCCTGGTAGCCCATGCCTTAAAGAAATGTAAATAAAAAAAAAAAAAATAAAAAATTGTACTCACATGTACAGCACACACCTTACAAAAGGCATTATCTATGTAAAATATGTGATTATTTATTTTTTAATTTTTTTTTTTCCCTCCAAAACTCCTCAGTGGAAAATGTCATGATGCCATTTTTGACTTTAGGTCCCTGGTCAGGATTCGGAAAGAAATGATTATACACCAGAAAACAAAGGAAATATAATAATAATAAATAGTAGTATTAATAATAATAATTTGGATTTATTCAATTTTAATTCAAATGTTATGCACATTACTGTATTTTTTTTATCATATATACCAATGCATTTTGTATTTTTTAAAAGATATCTTCATCGATATTGTAAAGATATTAACCACATATGTACAGGATATGAAAAACTGGCTCCTTATTGATATAAACCAGAATACACTTTATATTTAGTGATTATACATATTTGAGAAGACATCCGATTTTTTTGGGTTTTTTTAGATAGAGAAATCAGTATCCACTGATAGAGCATAGAGATTGAAAGTCTTATTAAAGAAAATGTGCCTCTCGACAAGAATCGAACCTTTATTCCTTTTTAATTTGAGGGTGATTTACTATTAAGCTACAAGGAAGCATTACAGCAAAACAAGACTTAATTACTCTACTTATGAAATATACTTATCTGCTTGGAACTTTTTAAATTTTATATCTGCTAACCTTAACTTTGTAATTGAAACAAAGTTAATTTAAGTAATGTTTTTTTTTTTTTTTTTTTAATATAACATTTTTTTACTATTATAAACATTTAGTTTGTCCATGATTAGGCAACAGTATTTGTTAGACTGTCAACTTAATATTATGTTTTTGGTACAAAAATAAACTTAACAGATTTAGATTTTAAAAGGTCCAAAAAAAAAAAAAAAAAAAAAAAAGAAGTGTTATTTAGCCTTGCTTTGCTATAATGACTTCTTGTGGTTAAAGAGTAAACACTGTCAGGTTTGAAGGCCCTTTCTCAGATAAAGGGAAAAATGATTTGATTCCAGTCAAGAAGAGGTACATTTTCTTTAATCTTTCAATCTGTAATCTGGTAGATACTGATTCCACTGTGGAAAAAAAAAAAAAACAAAAAAAAAACAGGAATGTCTAATACATGTACCCAATAAATATAATATTTATATTTACACTATTTACATCATTCAGACTGTTGTCTTCATTTTTATTGACATGTTTCAGCTGTTGTACACTCCACAGCCTTCTTCAGGTGATATATGTTGGAATTTTGTACCAAACCCTTTATTTAGTCAATGGAGGTAGATTGTTCTAGTTCCATTGCTTTTTAGATATATCAGTATTAGTTAATTCTTAATGTATATGACCTGAAGAAGGTCGAAGCATACAACAGCTGAAACGTTGTGAATATAGCAATAAAGATGAGGACAACAGTTTGAACAATGCAAATAGTGTAAATAGTTACAATACCTCATCTCAGATATATAGACAGATATAATGTTTATAAGAAATAACCCAGTATATAATCAGTATTTTTGGCCATAGCAATTAGTATCTGTTGATATTTTGTGTATGATTTCATTTTCCAAGCTTTATTCCAATAAATGAACTCCTTTGTATTGTTGCTGTGTTTTGGTTGAGTTATTCTAGAGCACTTTCTTCAAGTGTGTAATTTCTAAGTAAAATGAAGGAGTCTCTCTCTCTTTGTTTTTTTTTGGTGGTGGTGGATAGCAAAAATCAAGATGACAGAAATGGTTGCTAAAATATCAACCCCTCTATTTCCTTAGGTGTTATAAATCTGAAGAAGGCTGTAGAATGAAGTGGTAGAAATGTGCAATAAGAACAAAAAAAGAGTTCAGTTGTCTGAAGAAAGCTTGGAATGTGCCATCTCTGCTCAAACTTATAGACAATATGATTTCAGTTTTTTTTAAGTACCAGTGTATACATAGATTTACAGCTGAAGATGTGAACCCCAAAAGCAAAACAGTTGTGCATCTCTACCCACCCCACAAAAAAAAAAAAAAATTTCGATATTCTTTTCATGATCATTCCATAGTTTATACACATTAACCAACTAAAAGATACAGACTATATTTCCTAATTTAGAAGACATATTTTGTGGACAAGTATTCCTTATTAAAAGAAAAATATTCAAATTTAAGATTAATTTGCAATGAAAAAAAAAAAAAAAAAATCAAATTAAAAATAATGTTGGCATAGAGTAGGAAGTTGTTAATCAGACAATACAATTATTTTAAAAAAATTTTCATACTATTTTGCACAATAAATTTTTTAGTGTAAGGGAAGTAATTCTCTGTGTGTGTGTTCAATTTGATTATTATATGTACAGGATATAAAAAAAAAAAAAAACTAGTTCTTCATTGATATAAACCAGGATACACTTTATATTTAGTAAATATACATGTTTGAGAAAACATTCCTGATAGTTTTCTTTTTTTTTTTATAATAAGGAAATCAATATCTACTTGCATAGAGATTGAAAGTCTTATTAAAAAAAAATGTGTCTCTTGACTAGAATCAAACCTTTATTTGTTCGTAATTTGAGGGTGATTTGCTACGTGAAGCCATTACTTAAGAAATGTACTTATCTTCTTGGAACTTTTCAAATTTTATATCTACTAACCTTAATTTTGTGTGTGTGTATGCAATTTGATTATCTTTGAGGTATGATGGGTTGCTTTATGGTGGATCAATTTGAATGCCACCTTTTTCAGTTCGTATATTTTAGAACCCACCGGCTTATAATGTCCCACCATTTTGTTTAGTACTCAGAGGTTGATCACTAGCTGGTTGCCATGTAGTTTTAAGTAAAAAAGTAGAAAGAAATGAACTTCAAAGAGTTAATGAAGATTTTTGAATAGAAATGATTGGTATTTTTTTTTAAGTTATCTTGATCATCATATACTGTTAAATTTTTTTGTTTTTAACAATACTTTAATTCTGACTAAGGAAAATCACAAAGCACTGTAAACCAAAGATTTGTTGATTGAAATGTTTAAATTATTTTAAAAAATTCCTTGAATACTGCATGCATTCTAAAAAAATAAAGTAAAAAGTTTATATATAAACACTGAGAGGCAAATCTTTGATAAAAAATATATCACAGATCCCACGTTTACCTGATGAAAAGTAAAAATCTGTTAATGGAGAGATATCTCAAATATATTTTCTTTTTTCTTTTTCTAGTAAAACATTCCAAAAACAATTTTTAGCAGCATATCTTCAATCTTGATGAACATGAAAAAAAAAAAAAAAAAAATTTACAAAAGGGGAAAAATTTGTACAACAAAATGTTAGTTTCCTTGTGTAGGTTTAAAAAAAAAAAAAATCTTTCTTACCACACGCAATCCAGACAAATGTTAATAAGCACATCTCAGAACAAACAACAATCACACAAAATTCCAAATTGGCCAATCAGATATTTGAATATACAGTTGTCTCCCCTTATCAGCAATTTTCTTTTCCACATTTCAGGCTACCAGCAATAAACTTCAAATTGAAACAGTCTATTAAGTTTACCTAATAAAAGCTTGAAAGCACAAGACTAGCGATACTGGGATTATATAAATGAAAGCTCTCAACTTGAAAAAAATAAATAAAAAGTATGCTAATATTGCTAACATCTGCAGTGAAAATAAAGTTTTGTTAAACTTTTGCTATAAATTGTTCCATTGTATTAGTGGTTATTATTGTTAATTTCATATTGTGCCTAACAAGATCTATGGTTAGAATGAATCTCTCTCCTTCATAACCTTTAATACAGTATAATTGTTCTATTTTATTATTAATTATTGTTAATCTCTTATATCTCATTTCTAAATTAAAGTTTATCAGATGTATGTTTATATAAGAAAAACATATTTGCAGAGGGCAGTCTTGGAACAGCCTGTGGATAAAGGAGAAACTACTGTATCTAATCTCTTTTTTCTTTTTTTAAAGAATAGTGTACTGTTTGCGACTTTTCTTTCTCCCATTATCTTTCAAAATAGATATTGTAGGCAGGAGTTTATTAATCATAGCACACCCCAAAAATATGAAAGCTGAAAAATATTTTACTCTGGTAGAATTTTGCATAGGGTTTCTTGAGAAATGTGTGTGTTTGTGTGTGTGTATATATATATATATATATATATATATATATATATATATATAATGTCAAGCTGTGAACACCAATGAATTGTGGTGTGATCCTTTCATACAAACAGAACATGGCACAGTGATATAAGTACTATCTGAGGAAATGTTTTTGAAGAAAGTGGAGTCGTTATGATGTCGTCCCGTTTCACAGCAACATCCAACATTATCCATACACTTTGTCATTACTGTCCTTCGAAGTTCCTCACGAGCTTTTCGTATGACAAACATCATTAGACCAGCCATGAGAAAAAGCTGAAAAAAAAAAAAGAAAAAAAAAAGATAAATAAGGATTATGATTTGCTATTTACAATTCATATTATAAAATTATTCCTATAAAATTAAAAATTTAGATGAAAGAAAAGAGAAAAAAAACAATGTTAAAAAGCGTGTTTCTACAAAAGACAAAACAAAAGTGAAAAAAACAAAAAAAAAAAAAAACAACAAAAAACAAAAAAAAACAAAAAAAAAAAAAAAAAAACAAAAAACAAAAGTAGAACCCCCAAACAAAAAGCAGCAAAAAGTGAAAAGGTTTCGTTTAGAGCATATCACCCTCTATGGGTTATTTCATGCCGACAAAATTTTTATTGCTGGTAATGTTTTTCTTCAAAAATCTATAGCTGGGAATATTTTTTTCAAAGAATGTATAGCTGTTTGTATTGCAGGTACTTTTTTTAAAAGTATTGCTGATAATTTTTCCTTCAAAAGTTATTGCTGGTATTAAAACCTATTTTTACACAAGTTTGGGTGTCAGCTATTTGCCCATAGCTGGGACCCTAACAGGTGTTAGCACCCTGGGTCAGGGTGGACATGGGAACACCAGCAATTAAGAGGTGGTTCCACACTGCTCAAAACCTCCTGTTTAGAGGCTTTGCTGTTGGATGTAGTTTATCTTCTTACCCAGGATGTGGATGTAGTTTATCGTCATATCCAGGACGGGAAAGTGAAAAAGAGAAACATAAAAGTCAACATGAAAAAAAAAAAAAAAAAAAACTTCAATAAAAATATTAAAATTAATAATTGCAGAATGATGATGTGAAAGTTGCAATAAAAATCAAATGAAAAAGAGAAACTAGTCAAAATAATAATCCACAATCTTTTGTTTATATTCACCTGGACTCAAATTTGACTAAATCTTAAGTCACTCAATTACTGACATTAGTATGGTATAAGCAACTGAAACAAAACGAAAAACAAAAAAAAGAATAAAGTGAACAGAAGAGTTACTAAATATATTATTTTATAGTATATTCAAGAATTCTGCCAATTATACTGGTTTAGTTATGTTAAAACAACTTTTTTATTTATTAAACCCCCAAAAAGTGTAGTTAAAAGCAACTTGAATAATATTTCTTGGTCAAAAATTAAGTAACCCAAGTACTGGTCAAAACTAAGTTATTTATAAAAAAAAAAATATGCAGTTAATATTAAAAAGAAAAGCAGAAACATTAAAAAATAAAATGAAAAAAAAAAAAAAAACTCTCAATAAATAGAAAAAGAAAGTGAAAAAAAAAAAAGGGAAAAAACCTTAAAAATAAGAGAAAAAAAAAATAGTACAAAAAAGCAATGTAAGTGATACAAAACAAAATCTGTAGGTTTGAAAGGTAATAAAAAAAAAAAATAAATAAAAATAAATCTAAGGGTGTCATGTGAATGTGCTTATTCTAAACACAACACCAAAATTGAAAGGATGATTAACATCTCCAAAGGGAAAACTAATGGGACACTGACCTTTCCAGGATGATTATCCCAGGAGTTTGTTTATTTAGTATTGTAGTAGTTATTTTTTATTTTTAAACAAAAGAAATAAAAGTAAAAATACTGATCAAATAGAAAAGTGATTGTTTAGAGATGACATTTTGACAGATTTTATCAGCAAAAGAGACAGCAAAATTTTCAGGGAGTGAGTGTCAAAGTTCAGTTGGTAAAGGTATTAAATTTGGTTGTTTACCTATGAATAATTTGAGTTGTAGTTTTTAAGGATTTTCAACATTGAACGGGACCAAATGAAAATTCAGTTCACTCATATAATATCAGAAGATTAAAAATGCTAAAGTCTATAAGAGTTTAATTTTTTGCATGTAGTTTTTTTTTAAAACAGTAAATCAGATTTTCCCCAAGCAAGGCAGTAAAGCCACTAAGACAAAAGGGGTTACTGGGTGTGAAAGAATTAGAAAACATTACTAAGAAGTGAGAACAACAGAGGAGTAATCAGTTTATATATTTTTATTGCTTCAAATGTTATTTTTAGTGGATAACCGTGTTTCTGAAGCATGCAGGCTGATGGATGTAATACACAGTTTTAAATAAAAATGGCATGTATCCATTAAAAATAATGTTTGAAGTTATAAAAATATTAAAAAAATAATTATATATATATATATATATATATATATATATATATATATATATATATATATATATATAATTATGAAAAGGATTAATTTCGACAATTATTTTAATACATTTATTGTTTATACATTATTTTTATAGATACAAATATTTAAGTAAATGCTCTGTTTATAATAAACAGTATTAACAACATTTATCAGCTGGAATGTTCGAGAAATTTCATAGAAAATATGTGTCCACTGACAGGAATCGAACCTGTATCCTACATGGAAATGTCATATAGCCTGACATGTTATACCATTTAAGTACAGAGGAACAGATATGAGTATTCGAGAGAAATCATGGGAAATTTGTGGTTTAAAAGCAGTAATTCAACCTTGCTAACCAGACACTTCCTCTGTAGCTAAATGGTATAGCACATCAGGCTATATGACAGTTCAGCATAGGATACAGGTTCAATTCCTGTCAGAGGAAATATTTTCTATAAAATTTCTGACATTCAGGCTGGTAAATGTTAATACTGTTTATTATAAACTAAGCATTTACTTAAATATTTGTATGTATAATATATATATAAGGAAATTTTTTGTTTTTATAATGTCTAGTTTATATCTAAAAGTAAAATTAAGGTGGCAAATGTTTCATTAGAAAATTTTTTATAACCTTAATTTTACCTAATTTATATTTACTTTTTGTTTAATATAATTTAACATTTAATGAGATATCTGAGTATGACATATCTTTTTTAGAATATCTCAGCAAAGTTGAATTTTGGACAGGTGTACTCTTAAATCTTCTCCCAAGGATTCTAGCCATCATCGATTTTGTTTTTGTATATATTTATTTATTATAACAATGATATATTCGTATAATCAGTTTAAATGGGTTTTAATATTGTGCTCAGGACTTCTTTTGAATATAATTTAATTAATGACCTTGAAAAATTTTTGTTGCATACCCATGATCCTCTCATGGCACACTGGTTGAAAATCATTATTCTAGAGGAACAGTTTATTACTTAATAACAATAGAACAATATTTTATTAAGTCTTTACAATTATTACAGAATGTTCACATGTGTCTTTAAATGATGAAATTATGTATGAATTGCCATTCCTGCTTAAGATCAGTGTAGTATCTGTGTGCTTTATTTTTGTTGTGGAGTAAAGAGTACACCCCCAGTGACTCTGAACTTGTCCAATACTATAAAGAGTTTCAGGTTATAAGGTCGGGGGGGTATTCATATTGGAATCAGTCTTCATGCTAACTATACAGGCAATAGACTAAGCATTACACATAGTGAATACTTGATGAATTACGTTACATCAACTATGAGTGTTGTTATAGCAATAACCTTGTAAAAGGGAGTCATAATAGTTGGTGATGAGGAGCTTGAACACAAGCACAAGATAAATTTGCAACATTATAACTGAAGTTATAATAATTGGCAATGAGGATCTCTAAATCAAGCACAACATTATAACTGAAATTATAATAGTTGGCAACAAAGATACTTGAACACAAGCAGGGGATAAAAATTCACAATATTATAACTAGAGATATAATAGTTGATGACAAGGAAAATGAGCACAAAGGTAGGATAAAAATTGCAACATTATAACTGAAGTTATAATTGTGGACGACAAGGAACTCAAGCATGGTATAACAAGCAACACATTATAACTGGAGTTATAATAGTAGGCAATCAGATTTTCAGAATTCATAAGTGTGGAGCAGGAGTTACACAAATTTCAACCATATTGGTTTAAAAAAAACAATCTTGCAGATATGGAGAAAATTTTGGTTTTAATAAAATTTCAATATTCAACCACAAGAGAAGTAACAACAACAAAATACCCAACATCAGCTACAGTTGCAAAATCAACAACAAGAGTTGTTGGAAGTGGTTTTGAAGAAAAATGCTTCAACGTCTCTTATGCCAGACATAGGATAAACACCATATCAGAATTTGTATGCGATCATGATGATGGACTGACTTTTGCTGTGTATTTTCATGAACGTGAAGAAATATTTAATCAGAAATGCAGTGGCTGGGAAGATGATAAAAAAAAAACAGGTTGTTGTTAAGATAGTGTCAATGAAGTATGAAAAGCACTGCAATTTTACTGAGAAAACCAGATGAAATAGGGTTTGAAGACACAGTAAACATTCTGACAAAAATTTTTAGTGACAAGTGCTTTCTAATTCATGCTTGTTGGAGGTGCATGAAGTTAAACAAAAAAGAGGATGAAGATTTTGTCATCTATGCAGGTACCATTAACAGAGAATGTGAACAATTTAAATAAAAGGAAATGACTCCAGATATGTTCAAGGGATTAATTTTCATGTAAGACCTAACAGTAGAAAAAGAAAAAAATTTTAGCAAAGATTGAACATAATAATTATGTAACACTACAGGAAATAATGGACAATTGCCAAACAATGCTAAGTTTGAAGCATGAGGCTGAAAAACCCCTCTGAATAAAGAGTATGCATTGGTAAAAGCTCAGGAAAAAATACACAAAAAAGGAATATAAAACTTTGTTTCAGAAGTGGAAAATTGCATCTTGGGAAAGACTGTACATGGAAAAATGCAGAGTGCTACAACTGTGGTAAAAAAAAAAAGGACATAAAATTACACTGCAGAACTAAGTGAAGAAGAAAATTTTTACAGGAAGAAATTAATACATACTATTGCAATGGAAAAATAGTCACATGAAATAAAAGAAAATTTGTTAACATGCAACTCAGTAATATTACTAGATACTGGTAATGACATTCCAAAAGAAAACGAAACCACATGCAAAGAAATTGCAAAACCTTTATTAAAAAGGACTTACAAATTCGCAACTTCAGTTTCTGGCAAGAAATTATTTTTTTTTTTAGGAGAATTAACATGTGATGTTTATTTTTTAAATAAGCAGATAAAAAGAAAAGCTTTTATGTTCTAAGAAATGCAACGAATCTGAAGAACCAATAAAAATGCGGTATGATATTTTTGATGTGTCAGCACCAAAACAAATCTGGAAACATGTAAGGACAACTTCAAAGAAAACACTACAAAGCAGTTGGCAAACTCTCCAGAAAGAGGAGGGGGGAGATACTAACACTAAATAAAAAATATTATTTAATAAAGTAGTAATCTCAAAGGGGGGGCGGATGTTGTGGAGTTAAGAGTACACTCCTAGTGACTATGAACTCGTCCAATACTATAAAGAGTTCCATGTTATGAGGTTAGGGGTAGTTGTATTGGAGTCAGTCTTCATACTAACTATACAGTCATTATGGCAATAGCCTAAGCATTATACTTAATATAATAACATATATATATTATAATACTTAAATCCCATTATACCAGGTACGAAGGTGTGTTATAACAATTTTAGTATGTCTAAAATACTATATATATATATATATATATATATATATATATAGTGTAGTATCTGTGTGATCTATTTTAGTATTTCTAAAATCAGAGTAATCAATTTTAGTATTTCCATGTTTGGTGAAGTGTGTATAGCATAATGGTTATCATCATGGAAAGTGGAAATGATATGCCGAGTTCAAACTCGAGCCAAAGTTATTACATTTGCTTACATACAAAAGGAAAGGTATGGATTCATTTCTTTTTTTCCTAACTAAGAGTTAATTGTATGGCAGACTCAGCATTCTAGCCTCATTTGCCAACCAGTCTAAGAGAAGAACAACTCTGGCTAGTAACTCCACCCCTTAAAAACCTACTTGCAGCAATACTTAATGAGGATGTGGGTCATATACTCCTCAGGAGAATCTCAATCAGTTATGTGCCATGCGTGATACATGCTTAGGTGATCATGTATCTTTTGGTACACTGACAAGGCAGATTTTTTTTTGTGCAGTAGGTTGCCATTTCTTTCTGCAGTAGACCAGTTGCCATCCAAGGCTATAGAAACCAGTCTGTCCTGCTATTTAGCTGGGGGGAGAAGAAGAGGATTCATACCCTTCCTAAAGGTATTAGCACACAAGTGAATGTAATGGATTTGACTGGAATTCAAACTCGGCTCTCCGATTCCTCAATCTGAGCTGCTATCTATTACTCCACCGTGCCTCCTAGAGAATCTACAAAACCTAAATACAGGTTAATTTTACCATACTGATCAAGTAATAGAATGTTGTGGATATGTCATTTGTCTGGTTATCTTTAGATTAGAATTCACTTATTTTGTTTTATGAGAAAGTTATAAACAAAAAAATATCTGTATAAAGGTGTGACATATTAAACAGATTAACTGTAAAATGCTTTACAAAAACAACTTTGAATAATGTGATAATTCAGCAGGAATAATTTCATCTTTTTTTTGTTTCACCTTTGGAAATGTCAAGTGCTAAAATTTGGAAGTGTACTCCTAGAAATATCACTTACCTGTCCAATAAAAACTAAGTAACCCGTTGCATGTGAAGAGCTGTCACTCCACACCTCTTCCATAGATCGAAATGTGGAGCCAACATAGCAGTTGACGAGTGCAAGTGGTGTCATTCCTACCACTGATGCAATAACATAGACAGGCACAGAAACATGGGTCAGCTGAAAAGGAAAGGAAAAAAAGGAGCCATAAAACAGGGGGTACAGACATGGGGGAGTTAAAAGTAAAAAAAAAAAAAAAAAAACAGATAATGAGCATTTTGAAGTGCAGAAAAAAAAAGTTAAAGTGTCTGAAATTGTACTTGAGCCAATTTGTAACAATTTTTATACTGCAGTCAATTTATAAATTAAATAGAAAAAATTCAACCAATAGAAAATTTGGATTGATAAGGTTGATATTAGGTTACTGTTTAAAGGTCAATTTCTATCACCCCCACCTCCAATGTCTTAATATTGGGCAACCAAAATATAAGTATTTTTTTGTTTAATTCCCTGTTTTTCTTAGGGTACCCAATTCTCCAAGGCAGTGATTTTCAACTAGTGTGCTGTGGCACACTAGCGTGCTGTAAAATACTCAAAGCATATATGTGTGTGTGTGTGTGTGTGAGGAAGCAGTAATAGTATAGTGTTAATATTTGAATAAATGAATAAGTATTAAACTTTTTTCAAATAATTCTTTTCACTATTCTTCGATTATGTTATTTTAAATACTTTGTTTTAATATTCATTGTTTTAAAATTCCATTTAAAAATTTTGCTAAGTCTGCCATATTTTCCTTTGCTCTGAGGTGTGTCATTGCTTAAAAAGGTTGAAAGAACACTGCTCTAAGGTTTACCTTTTTCTGATATCAGGTGCAGATATAGTTTTATTGTGCTTAATCTCAATGCAAACATCTGGCACATTTGAAGTATATAACATTCAACACAAGCCCTCAGTTGGTCATCACCTACACTGGCAGTCTTTTGTGAGGTGCAACTTCAAGTGATTCATTTTCTGCTGACATCTTGAATCACTTTTGAGCTGTACAATCAAAACTTTACATTCATCAAAACATTGTACTTATTCTGAAAAACCTTTATTACTGTATATCGGTTGATTGAGGAATAAGGTCTCCAAATCCTATCAAACAAGTTTTAGACCAGATAAAATAAAGAGACAGTTATCAAAATTAATTTATTTCTTTTTTAAAATAAGCAATTTATTTTATTGCTTTTAACTTTGTCACCAAATGTTCTATCCATTTTTTCATTCTGCCCATGAAGAAACTTTCTGGTTTTTCTGTTGATCCAATTTTGCAAAACATCTTCAACATTGGATAAAATAAATGAAAGAAGACTCATGACTAACAAATGCTAGTACTCAATATCATCACACAGTGAACTAACACTAAGCACATTTGACACAGGACTTTACATACTACTGAATTCAAACAGGTTTCTATATTCACTATTAGCGATGCCATGAGATGTCACTTATCAAGTAACTTTTGAGAAGGTTATTTGACAGTAAATGATGAAAGTTTCATGCCACTAAGAATGCTTACAGACTGTTACCATTCAAAGGATGCATTTATTTTTTGAAATCTGATAAAAAAAAAAAGAAAGAACATAAAAATCAAGAAAATCTTTTTGTAACATTAAATCATTCACAGCATTTTTAAAATTTTTATAAGTTCATTGTGTGGTGCTCATTTTTTATATATATATATATATATATATATATATATATATATATGTGTGCGTTTCATTGAATAATATAGACATATTGTGTCTAATTAGAAAAATATTCAACAAAAAACTACTTCACACTAGGTGCCAACCCCCTAACCAACACACACTCTTAACAACATCCAGTATACATCTTTCACCACCCCACCAAAGGAATATGACCTGCAATAACATCACCCCACCATTATGCCAAGTTTGTAGACATATCATCGATGATAGCAGTCATCACTCACATGGTTCAAATCTCTTGTATATTTGTTTTTTCTGCCACAAGTGCAAACAAAGTAATCATGTTTGAGAAATGGGAACAGAAATCTGACTTTTAATAACCATAAGAAAACCATTAGAGACAAAAACAATAACCCCCCCCCATCATAGTATACTTCAACCAACCATTTCATAATGCCAATGACATCAGATGCATACTTTTAACGTCTTCATTAAATTGCCGACAAGAAAGGCCTAGATCGATGTTGAAATTTATTTTCAAAATAAATCCACATCAAGGGATTAAATGGGGGTTTGTATTTACTCAGAGAGTATAACTTCCACAGGGAGACCCTCCAGCTAAAAACATTCCGCAAAAGAGTATGTCCCACTTCTTAGTTTATTCCTTGCATCGTTGAAAAAGAACACAGGCATGTTTGGAAATTACGACTTTAAAATCTATTTCAGTGAAAAGGTTAATATAATAAATATCAATTTTATTAACAACATTGGTATCATTTTGTTGGCTTTTATTCTTCTATTTTTATTAACTGGCCTATTAATCCCTTTCTTATATATATATATATATATATATATATATATAAAAAATCTCATTCAACTGTAGTCAGGATCGTCAGGCCAATCCGAAAATGATCCTTTCTTTAAATGTGATAGTATGTGTTATGCCAGGGCTACATACAGTTTTGAATTCAGAGTTACTTTCTCTTAGTCCTGTTGCCATCCAAGGCTGTAGAACCCAGTCTGTCCTGCTATTTACCCATAGCTGGCAGGGGAAGAGAGTTCATACTTTTCCAAAGGGTAAGTGAATGTAATGAACCCAACTGGAATTTAAACTTTGCTCACAGATTCCTCAATCTAAACTGTTATCCATTACTCCACCATGCCATATATATATATATATATATATATATATATATATATATATATATATATATATATTACATGGAATAGAAATTCAAAATTAACCTATTTGAATAGCTATTTCACCCTACAAGAGGTTCCTTGCAGGATTTGTCAACACCAAGGGGCTAAAAAATAAAATATATATGCTCTGTTATAATAAATACATTGAGCTCTCTTTTTGGATCAGTTTTAATATTTTATATTATTAAGATTCACTTGGATTATTCACAGGTTTTTATATATATATATATATATATATATATATATATATATATATATATATATATATATATATATATATGTGTGTGTGTGTGTGTGTGTATGTATGTATGTATGTATGTATGTATAGGTATGAAAGTGTGTGTGTGTGTGTGTGTGTGTATGTATGTATGTAAGTGGTATGTTCAGGTAGTGTAACAGTTATCAGTGTGGGAAGCAAAAGTGGCAAGCTGAGTTCAAATTTCACCATAGTCTATTTTATTCCCTTTCCTACAAATGCCCTTGGGAAAGACATGGATCCATTTCTTTTTCCTTTTCCAAGATAGGGTTTAAATAGCAGAGTAGATTGCGCTCTCTCACCTTGGATGGTAGCCAGTCTAGGAGAATTCCAAACCATGGAGAAGGCAACAAAGAAACCATTCTATTATCTTCCCCAAGATGTTATAGCAATTCACGGATAATAGAGAAAACGAATCTATGGAGAGCTATGATCACCTACATCCTGTAAGGATATGACATTGAAAAATAAAAAAAACAAAGAAATTTAATGGAGTTTGATTTTCAAATGTAGCCTAATTTGGCAACTGTGTTGATCATTTGAAATAAAGATAATTAAGCAGTATAAAGAAAAAGAAAACATCTTTTATTCTACATTATTCGGATTATTGTCCTCATTTTTGTCGCCATATTTATTACAACGTTTCAGCCGTTGTATGCTCTGGCCTTCTTCAGGTGATTGGAATGTCGAACTGAACCCTTTATTTCACTCACTGGGGTAGACTGTTCTAGTTCCACATGCCATGTTTAATGTTTTTATTCTATAAAAAGATCTAAAAATTGATTAACATCAGTTGAAACATAATATATCCATTTATATGAAATTATTCTGCTTAATTAGGGCAAAAGATTATCTTTAATTGCAACAAATGGATAAAAGGGATAATTTATGACATTCTAAAGAATTTCTAATAGTTCCCATTATTTACCACAAGACAACAAAGTGGGTCACCCTTTAAATATTTGTATAGTGAGATAAAATGGACCTTTAAGGAAAGAATCTGGTTGGGATATTTATCAAATTGTTGTTGTTAACCTGATTAAGAGTGGGACACTTTCACTGACTTAACAACACAGACTGTTTGAGGTCATAACTCTTCAATCACCAAAATGTAATTAGATGAAGGCTTTTTAAAACACAGGGATTTACCAGAGCAACTTCACTAAGTCAACAATAACTGTTAAAACTAAGATAAATATCTCTGCTGGCCACAAACATACAAGTAAAATATTTAAAGAGAGAGAGAGAGAGAGAAAAACATGTTCTAATACAGGAAGATTAACTGGGGTACCTTCAAGGACTTATTGGTTGTTCATTATGTGGCCTAATTAGATCTCTGAAGTCATTAGATTGTTGAAACACCTCAAATGACTCCATGTGCTGTCTGTTCATCATGCAGTGGTCATACATTGTGTTTTATGGTGAAGGGTGAGTGTTACCATATTGGTGGCTAGAGTGCTTCAGAGTGAGTTGCAATATTACATTTACTGTGAGGGTTATACAAATAATACATGTGCATATTATATTTGATGACATGTGAAGAAAATTAAATAAAACTAATAAATAAAATAATAATGATGAATACAAAAAAAAAGTTAATTTTACCATGATACAAGTTGTAAAGAAACTGAAAAGGGTTTCTGATCACATGTGCAATTTTTATGACCCCACTTCCAGAAAGGACAGAATTTTTTATTTCTTCTCTTGGTTTGAAGATGTGAACCATACAGTAATTATATTCCCACTGGAGAATGTTAGTTTCCCTCGGTCCACTGATGACAGAAATCTTTCCACTTTCCAACAAGATCGTTTGGACAGGTTTCAGCATCCCTACTCATGAAGTAGAGATTTGATCTTCCTAACTCAGCATGAAACTGACTTGAGCTTGACCATGTTTACCCATTTGTATCCTTACTTCCCATAAAGTTTTTCAGAACCAAAAAGAAAAATGGGCACACTAAAGAGACATTTAACTTTGTTTCAATAGTCAACATAAAAAGAACAAACAGCAGAAACAAGTTTTTTTT